CCCGTGTACCACCAAAAAAAAAATGCATTCCTTTAATATAAGCATGTGGGAGAAAACCTGAGGAGCCCCATGTCGGAGGCAGTCTGATGTAGAGGAAAGAAATTTTCCATGCTCCTCATTCCTCATAATCACTTACCACATCCCACCTGTTTTATTTTACATTGTTTACCCCACATCCTTTCCACTGCCTCCACCACTTTCCTAGCAGGAGTATGAAAGAACTATGGCAGGAAAGTCAGGTTTGTGGATTTCAGGCCCAGATGTTCCATTACAGTTGATGAAGAGCTCTATTTAAGTGTGTAGGAAACATGAAATCAAGACAATAATGATATTTGAAAGGCGCCTGCTTTTTTCTTGACCATACTTTCTCCTGTCCAGCCCCTAATAAATTGTATGAACTTGTACAGGGCAGATGATGTCTTAAATTCCTCATCGGGGTGGAAGAAGCAGTGAGCCTCAAGCTTCCTCCTAGTCCTAAAATTCTATGATCCATCCAAGGTTCACACTTTCATCCTAGTACCGTGAATCAGGGACCAAGCCAGGACCAGTAGACTCTAAGATTAGCTGAATTCTAGGAGCTTATAATCAAGTTGGGAAACAAGACAGATGCTCAGTCATTTGGCAGATATTGACTGAACAATAATAGTGGTGTGTGGGTCTGCATGCACCTTGGTACTTGATGCTGGGTGGGGATGCGGTGGTCTATAGGAGCTCTTTCCTCCTGGATTTTATGGTTTAGTGGGAAAGAAAATTACCAGAATATAAGAATCATAATAAAATCTGATGAGTATAATGATAAGGCAGAATGTCCCAAACAGGCCTAACTGGGAGGAAAAAATTCCCATAAGGTGCTTGTTAAAGGTATGGATTCCTGGGCCTGACCCAAACCCTAGCAATCAAAACCTTCTCAAAGGTGCCCCTTAAGTGTTTTCAACTCTCAATCTTCATTAGGCAAGTTTGGAAAACATGGTGATCAAAAATGAGCGGGATACTGTGGGAACTCACAAATACATGAAACAATCAGTATTAGGGTAGTCTGACACCGTGTCTAACGGTGGTTACATGTATGGGCTCTGGAGTCACACTACTAAGGCTCACATCTCAGCATCACCACCAAGAATGGAAATAATAGTAATTAGGATTGTTGTGAGGATTAAGTGAGCTAGTTTTTATAATATTAATATATAGAGAGTAGCACTGTTATAGAACCAGATGGCAAATCATGAATCATAAGAGGTTCACTATATAGTTCATAAAGCTTCCCTGTTCTCCTAACTGGGAGAATGTAGTAAGTGTAATAAGTAATTGCCAAAAAAAACCCAGTTCTGTTTCTTTTGTAAAAAGGAAAATAGGGAAAGGGAGGATGGATAAGGGAAAATCCAGACCACACTGTAATCAAAAGGGAAGTCTTTCATGTAAGAGATGGTACTATATTGATTCTAAGGGGTAGACATGATTTAAAAAGAGAGACAGAGAGAATGAAAAGACAAGCACAAAGAAAGCCAAAGACACAGGACTGCTTGTAGTTTGTATGAATGTGAGACCTGTAGCACAGCCCTAGTTCTGTCACTAATTAGCTATGAACTTTTGGGTAAGTTAATTATCATGGACCTAAATCTATTTCTTTGTGTGAATGGAGTTTTTTGAATTATATTATAGTTTTATAGCCTATATTTCGTTCATCTTCATAGTTCTCTAGTTAAAAAAATTTGGAGGGGAACTGCAATATATACTGCGTCCACTAGATGGCAATAGATAGCTTTGTAAATGGAGGTCTTTCACAGAAACTGAAGATGTCTAATAAGCAAGCAAGAGTGTATTTAAGGTTCTCGAGAAACAGAGAGGTGACACTAATTCCTCATACTGAGGTCCTTATTGAGATTTATAAGATAAATAGAAATCATATGTTTTTAATCCCTTTGTTTTAGACCCACAGGTATTCAAGGGTCATGTTAGGACATTCTGTTTTAAACCTTTACTGCTAAAATCGGTTATTTCATAACAACGAAGCAAACAAAGAATTGCTTGCATGAGGTCCAATTCTGAACTGAGCCAGTAAAACTCCCCAAAGATCCTTACTCTTAGTCAAAAGTACTAAGTCAATCATTCTTAAACTTTTTCATGATAAAGAGCCTACATATCCCACCACTAAAAAAAGAAAAGGAAAAAAGATCTATTTCCTCTGCAGCACGATACACTTTTTAAAATGGTGTCAGCATTATCATTTTTTATAGTAAGAGTAAACTATCCTTATTTTTAAAGTTACAACAGTTCAAAAAATTGTATCAAAGAAGATGAAAATCATCTTCAAGCAATAACAATGTTATTAAACTATTTTGGGTAGATAGAAAAGAAATAGCAATGCATCCTTTTATCTTTTTTAAATTAAAAATATTTTTAAATCTTCCCATGTTAATAAATATGTTAATGATCACTAGCATTTAATAGTTCACAGCTAAATATTTACAAATTTTATTCAATATACTTTAACCAAAATGTCTGGCCTTCTGTGACAACACTTTGCTTCACAAATTGACAAAAATGGCCCCATTTAAAGATGAGTAATGATTAGACAGGGACCTATGCAGAGAAAATGAGGAAGACAACAGAACGTACAGAACCTAACAAATGAGCTGATGAAAAATACATATCAGAAAAATTTTTCCAGGAAGCAGATTAGTTCAACAAACACTTAGGCAATGACCTGAAAACAGTGAAGGAATATATGACCTCTTTGAAACAATATCTCAAGGAAGGGAGCAAAAGGAATACATTTGAAAACTACACGAGTGACATAGAGGAAGGCTAGAAATAGAAAATAAAAATAATGCAAAGATCAAAACTGACAGTGAGTTGAGACAAACGGCAGATATGGAAGGGAGATACTTTGAATTTTTTAAGATACTCTGAGATCATAATAAATGGAACAGATATAGATAGATGGTCATGTAAGTATTAGAAGGAAACAGCTGAAAATAAGGGAAAAGCTGAATCTTCAAATACAAAATGCACAGCACGATTCATGAAAAACTGACACAAAACTATTAACAATAAGATATATCTTTATGAAATTACTCGACTCAAAGATAACCAAATACAAAAGAGGTACTTCTAAAATAAAATATCTCTGAACGGCTATAAAAGTAAAAAGGATGCACCAGACAGATGAAAATAAAACAATGAGCATCTCATTTATCAGTCAAGAATGATACGAAAGCAAAATAAAACGAAAATGACACTAAAGAAAGAACTTAAGTTAAAGGGTAAATTTTAATGAAGAAATATTATGAATCAAATAATGTGGTATCAAAAAAATCATAAAGCAAAAAAATTTGTTTCCCAAAACCCCAGGAAAGACAGAAATACAATAATAGTAGAAGAATTTAAGTTATCTCTCTCAGACCAACACAGTTCAGCTACTCAAAAAATAAGGATAAAGATGATCTAAATAAAATTATTAATTAGCAGGCCCTTAAACATCTTAGGACTCAGTCTATGCCATGGTGTTATATTTTATATGTCATTTAATACAAATATTGAGAAATAAATGCAACATTGAAGGGTCTCCACATACAAAACTATGTAGCTTTAAAAGACTGGAATATGTAATTTACAGTACCACTGAATATACTAACCAATAACTGTGTTTTAGTTAAGTTACAGTATGTTATTTAACACTGTCTCAAAATCAATCCAATTATTACAGAATCCGAGACAATAAATTATCCTACTTTAAAGTGACTTTGGCAACACACTAGAGGTAGACTCATGAAAGAGATCTTTGAAATTCATTTTTTACTTTGCCTATAGCTATCTAATAAACATTCCAATCCTTTCTATATGTCTCAGACTGTACAACAAAAGAAGCTATATATTGCTACTGCATGGTAGAACTGATAGTCAAACTGCTTTCAAGATATAATATGCAGCTACATTCTTCCTCAGAGAACAATCTCTATTACAGTTCTAAATCTAGGATCTATAAACGATATTCATTACAAGTTTTCTTTCTAACAGTGGCATAAAAGGCTATTTCTCAATCAAATCCAGTATCACCTTCAGTCATGCCACAAAGTCAAAAGCTACAGGCATGTCACATCCCCAAAGCCTTGCCACTATCACCAGACTCTGCTTTGTTATAACTCATGGACTTCAAAGCAAGATGAGGTATCCTCCAGAAATCAATGACTTGGATGTGTCAGGGTCAGTCAGACATGATGAAAGGGAGAAGAATAATCAGTTAAACCTGGCATAGGTAGATACAAAGCAGAGCTATAGAAAAGTTTTTCTTAAGAATCCAGGTAACAGGGAAATCTATAGAGACAGAAAATAGATTACTGTTTGCTTAGAGTTGGAGGCAGAGATGGGGGATGGAGGGATGGAGGTGAGAGCTTTAGGATATGGGGTGTCTTTCTGAGGTGATGAAAATATTCCAAAATTGAGTGTGGGAATGGTTGCAGTATGTCGTTGGATATACTAAATACCATTGAAATATACACTTCAAATGGATGAGTTGTATGGTATGTGAATTAGTCTCAAAGCTGTTTTTTAAAAAGGAGGTGGGAGAAGCCAGGTGAAAGGTCAGTCAGCAAATCACAATCAGGGAAGAACATGAGACTCACACTCAAGAACAATCCCAGGTAAGGTTTACCAGGCTTGTCACATAACCAATGCTTATATCATAAAAACCTTCTTTTTTCCAGAATGGCCACAAAGAGACTGTTCTTCTTTTGGGCCAAACTACTACACCTCCATCAAAAATACTTACTTCTTAAAGGCAAGGGGAAAAAAAGAAATATTCAATTTTTAACCGGGTTTTTAAAAATCTGGATTTCAATTTGACCTAGACTAATATAATGAACCAGGCTATAGTGTCAGTTTTTAAAACATGCAAATCAGTAGAATCCCTAATATACCCTTTGCTAAGTCAGTTAAACTGAATTCACGCTCTCTCAAAGGGAGCCCATTCCCTAAGGTAAACAGTGCAGGCTGAGACTCACAGTTGACGATGTCACCTTGAAGCTGCAGAATCTGAGGAGCTGGCATCGTGAGGACAGCAATATCAAACTGCTCAGGGGAGCCTGTTTCCCTGAGGACTTCCCACTTGTCATTTCTCAGGTTGATCTGGGTCACACATTGTCTGAAGTAGACATCAGCACCTGTTCCAAAAGCAAAATCATATTCACATAATCAGGATTTTCCATACGAATGAGAGGGAAGAGAAGAGTGACAAACTGGATCCACTCAGATGAATAAAATGGAAAAGTTCGTCTTGTACAGCCCCTGGGCTTCACTTTCTTTACTTTCTATCTCATTTAATGGGAATCCCTCCCTTCTGGCACCCTTGGACCTCCCTAACAATGCCTGCTCTGGGGAAAAAAAATACTAGTACTACAATTAATAATAATAGAAACCATAGATATCTTTCATTAATCATCTACTGTGTGTCAAGACTATGCCAAACACTTGATATACATTATACCAATTCATTTCCCAGATAAGGAAACAGATTTAGAAATGTCACACCATGATTTAAATCCACATCCACCTGACTCTAAAGTTCATTATCTTTGTAGAGCAACTATACATCTTAGTAAAGCTGTAAAGAATTCTCTCTAGTAATACCAAGCAAGAGCAATATTCCCTATTAAAAGTATCAATATTCCCTATTAAAAGTATCAATATTCCCTATTAAACCTGAAAAAAAAAACTCTGAAGAGAAATCCAAGTCTCATCGATGGATCAACTACCTTTATGACAAAGAATCAAAATGAAGAGAAATACAATCTGGAATATCCTCTCATAGCATTTCCCTTATTTGCATTTATCACAAAGATATTTTAATAATTATTTGAGTAGCTATATGATTAATATTTTCTTCCCTTTTAATTTGTAAGCTCCATAAGCCACAAATTACGCCTGCTTTTTCTATTTATAGCATATAGCATATAAAGTATTGTACTTGGCATGTACTAGGTATTTAATCAATATTTGTTTAAGAGAATGAATTATGAACCATAAACTGAAAGATAGGAAAATATAATTGGATCATTAAGTCTCCTTGGTATACTAGTACTTACCTCACATTCCAGTTGTGAGAAAAATTTGATGTTAAAGCAAATCTACTTTTATTTGGCCTCGTGAATAGAAAAGAAGTAAATAAAAATGGAATAAGGGGGAAAAAGCACAATGAAAGATCCTGTCCATCACTGCATGGGACACCTCGTGCTCCTAGCCACTAAACATCCAGCTTAAATCTAACCTTTGCCATGAAGCTTCCTGTCCGCGGCTACTCCAGCTCAATGTGATCCTTCTCATCTCGACAATCACTGCCTTTACCACTCCTTCTGACATTGATCCAGAGTATCTCTATGCTTTAGGTGTGTCTTATCTATCCCAAAATACTCTCTCGGGCTCCTCCATGTCAGGTCTCCAGATCTCATATACCTTTACATCTTTCACATTCCCTTGAATAACTCTACAACGTAGTAATTACAACTTTTTAAAATCAAATGCAAATATGGTAGAAGGAATGAGGCCCAGGGGTCAATCTCTTTGAGGCAATTAGCATCATTCTGCTCAAAGATTAGAGCAAGGGCTTCTAAATAGTGCTTCAACTTGCTTGAGGGTTTCTCTAAGGCCCCTCCTCTGGGAAGGCACAAATAACTGGAGCTTTCAACTCACACCCACCATCCCCTTTACTCCAACCAGAATGGCTCCACTTCCCTCTGTTCTATTGATTTAGGATGTCTCACCCCTCACTTGCCTCGCTCTAGTCCTGGCCCTGACTGGGACCTCAACTAAGTCAACTGACTTTATATGTTCCATTCAGTTGTGTTTTCACATAATATTCCCTTTGAAAACAGCATTACATTGGGTTTGTTTTTGGTGGTGAGTAGGTGTGTGTGTTTAACAGAATTGAAGTCCACTAACTAGAAATTCTCCATATCCAGTCAAATGTCTTGGACATATATCCCAGGGGTCCCAAAGTGTTCTGCAAGATGTATATCAGTCAGCACCAGCAGCACCTTGGAACTTGTTAGAAATGCAAATTCTCAGGTCCCAACCCAGACCTACTGAATCCGAATCTGGGGATCAGGCCCAGTAGCCTGCATTTAACAAGCCCCCAGGTTTCTTACCATGTACTTTAAAGTGTGAGACCACTGGCGTAGATAGATAGACCCAAATCTAACACCACCACTGGCAGTCACTCAAAAAATAGCACTTTCCAAGAGTTAGGGGCAATGGTATAGCTGCTCTGACCAACCAGGAAGTTTTCCTTTCCAATTGCTAGGAGTCAGTTTCAGGGAAAGTGGCATTTCCTTGTGAAAGTAACTAATAACTTTTGAAAGGACCACATGACCAAATCTATAGGCTCTGGAAAATCATTTTTAAACACTTAGAGAACTAGATAATATCTCTCAATCTGAGCTTAGTAAATTTGACCATGTCCCTCTCTTGCATAAAATCCTTCAGTGGTTTCCCACTGCATTTAGGATAAAGTATAAAATCTTAACATTGCTTACAAAGCCCCTTGTGATCTGGCCCCTGCTTTACTCTTAAACTTCACCTCTTACTGTTTTCTCCCTCATTCACTACGCTCCAGTCATGATGACCTTTTCATTCCATAAATGCACCATCTTCCTCCTACTTTAGAACAGTTGCAACTCGATATGCCCACTGCATGCAATTCTCACCACTCAGCTGTTGGCCTAGTTCACTCTTGCTCACCTTTCAGGTACCCATGGAAACATTAGCTCCTCAGAGATGCTTTCCCTGACACATTTCCCATACCTCACTCCTCTCAAACTCACGTTAGTTTAGGTCCTATTATTATAGCTCTCTCATCAGGCTCTCACTCTTTCTTCTTAGCATTTATTATGTACCCTTTTTATGTGTGTGAAATTAGTTTTTGTCTTTTCCCCCCACTACACTCTATATTAACAAAGGCAAGGTCCATGTGTTTTATTTACCACTATTTCCCCAGCACATATTTCATAAAAATAAAAAAATCTGCAGATAACTACAGATATCAGAACACAAAGAAGTTTTAGCCATTTTACAAAGGCAAATATGTTTCTGTTATATATTTATTCAATGTGTATACCCTGCCTTCTTCCATTTTAGAGAGAGAATCTAAATTCATTTTCCTCCAATAATTTCCTACAAAAGGTTTCAGTTCAGAACTGCTGAGGTGGACCTGAAGAAATGTAAGCAATGTCTAACTAAATGCACTGCTTAAACTGCGGAGCGCTTAACCGAGGCTCCTGGGCTATCTTCTACCTTCTCTCTGACAGACACTGCTATGGATGAGTGCCATGATCACCCGCCTAGGAGAAATCTTGAGACAGAACTGCCCAGCCTTAATTGTCTTACATCAATTTTAGAAAGAAAGTAAACACAAAAGTTAAAAGGGAAAAAATGATAAAAATTATATATTACTAGAAAGAAATCACACTAGCTGATAGTATCTGCAAATTAAACCATCTTTTCTAATAAATCGATCCTGTCAACTTTGACAAGTTACAATGCCCATGTTGACTTTTGATTGTTAGTCAATGTCCCTTTTGAAGTAGACGGTAAAATAAAAACAAATAAATGCAGCAACAGTTCTTCCTATGGTAGGCCAAACTAAATAAAAGATGCTCACCCTGTCCTGGAAACTAAATTCATCCTCCTATGAATGATTTAATAACATGGGCCTTATTCAAAAGCAAAAGGACTTGGTTCATCACTGTCTAAAGGTCATAGGCAGGAACCAGCAGGTGATTGATCTTCCTGTTTGCATAAAGAAGTAAAATGGCATTACTCCTTAGTAGCCCCTTCCCCCTGGGGCAGGGACTAACCAATGAAAGAGGGGGACTAGGGGAAGGGCACTATGAGTTTGTTCTCTTGAGCCAGGTGTCCATTGACATGTAGAACCAGGGTAGGATGGGAGCAGTCTCTCATACTATAGAGGAAAACCTGGAAAGGAAAAGATGTTAAATCAGAGGTATGAGACCCCTTCATTGTCCTCCATGGGATCATTAAAAGGAAATGACAACAGGGTCAGCTTAAAGAGAGTGCTGGTCTCTCACTTACTAGTTAAGCCACCATAAGCAAAGTACTTAACCTCCCGGAGTCTCATTTTTCTCATTAGCACATGGGGAGAATGATAACCACCTTGAATGGCTATATGAGAATTAGAAATGATGTATGTTAAGTGCCTAACATAGTATCAGATAAATAGCACTTAACAAATGATAGAGTAGCTTTTGTTCTTTTGAATTTCTCCCACCCCCAACAATGACAACCAAAAAAGTAAAACAACAGAAAAATCACATTTTACTTACTCAAGAAGATTGTATTAATTGGGAAGACAGGCAGTAGGTAAAACTGATGTCAATAAATGCAGTTTTCTCTGTAATTAGCTTAATGTGAACACATGAGACAATAAATGAGAACAGACCATTAGGTGGAGAGGCATGTGCCTATTTCCTCTTGCCCTTTTCTACTTATTCTGGGAAATTGGTCTACTTAAATATTGGCTTTAGAGAGTTGAACCTATTCTAAAGCATACCTGATTAGACATACCCAATACAGATAATTTCCCTGGAAGTCTAGTCCCAAACTAAGTAAAACTGGTTGGACCATCAGACTGTGGGGTTGTGAACTCAACTGATCCCAAAATGTGGAGTATTTTTTTGGAATGACTTGACAATTTGGGTTCTTATGTGCTGAGCACATGCAAAGGTCAGCTTCATTCAAGTAGACTATTTTTTAAACTAACATTTATCAAGAGATTTCTATGTACGTGGCCTATTATTTGCTTAAATTGACAATGAGTGCATTATATCCTTTATTCTTCACAAAGCTTAGTACTAGGTACTGTTATTGTTCTCATTTTTCCAATGAAAGAACCAAGGTATAGATTTTAAAACTTTCCTGGGCCTCCCTGGTGGCGCAGTGGTTGAGAGTCCGCCTGCCGATGCAGGGGATACGGGTTCGTGCCCCGGTCCGGGAGGATCCCACATGCCGCGGAGCGGCTGGGCCCGTGAGCCACGGCCGCTGAGCTTGCGCGTCCGGCAACGGGAAAGGCCACGACAGTGAGAGGCCCACATATGGCAAAAAAAAAAAAAACTTTCCTAATATTACATAGCTAGGAAATGGTGGTAGAATGTGAATTTGAATCCAGGTCATTCTGATTACAGGGACTCTCTCGACTTATATTGTGGAAACAACTAAAATAAGATAGAAACCATTTATAGGATAGAAAGCTTTAAAGAAGTTTAAAGAATGCTTAAATGGATATAATTATAAAATTTTAAATGATAGAGATAGGGTCTACAAAGCCTCTAATAATGGATCTGGGTAGAGGGTGGAAAGACCTCTTGAAGCAGTACAAAGATAATATTTAAATAAACTAAGAAAAAGTTTATATACACTCAAAATATGTAGACCTTGAACTCAATTATATAAAAGCTCATTTTTAAAAAAAGCAGAAAGTATGTCACAAAATGGACTTATTGTTGATTTATATGTCATAGTGACACTTTCCCCTGCTATTTTTCTGTATTTTCCAAATTTTCTACCAGTAGTATGTAATTCTTTTTTAAAAGTTACTTTTGAAATAAATATTTTACATAGTGATAAGAAAATCTAAAGTACTCACACTCTCAACGGACTGTACAAATTGAAAGAATAAATAGGTTTTTTACTAAGAATTGGCTAAATTAGAATGAATATATGTATGTTTATATATCTTAGAAATCTAAATCTATATCACTATACCTACCTACTATGTACAAGGTACCATTAGATTCTGTTTGAGCTACAAATATTTAAATATGACCTCTTCTGCCAAGAGTTTCCAAAGCAAAATTGGAAAATAAAGCATATATTCCCCCAAACACGTAACACAAAAGGATGTAGGTACAATGTATTCAAGGAGTGTCCCTCAGCTATATGAGGCAGGGACTCTGGTTCATGTATCATTAGTGCCTAAAACAGTAATATAGTAAGCACTCAGTAAATGTTTATTGAATGAATGGATGTATGCATGCATGGATGGCTAGACATATAACACAATTAGTAAGTACTTGGAAATTTTAGTAAGTATGCACATCTAATTTGGGTTAAGTAAAAATCATGATGGAAATGAGATTTTTTTTAAGTTGTATGGTGGCAATATATGAAGCTGACGGTGACATTCTACAAAATGTCCAAATGGTGTCACCATCTGTGATGGTTAATTTTATGTGTCAACTTGACTGAGTCATGGGGGTTCCCATATATTTGGCAAACATTATTCTGAGTATGTCTGTGAGGGTGTTTTTAGAAGAGATTAATATTTAAATTGGTAGACTGAGTAAAGCAGGGTGCCCTCCCTAACATAGGTGGGTATCATCCAATCAATCAAAGACCTGAATAAAACAGAAAGGCTGACCCTCCCAGGAGTAAGACAGGCAGTAGGTAAAACTGATATCAATAAACGCCAGTTTTCTCTGTAATAAGCTTAATGTGAACACATGAGACAATAAATGAAAACAGACCTATGCTCTGTTCTGTTCAGTTCAAAGACGATAGCCTTCGAACTGGGACATTGTTTTATTCTCCTGCCTTCAGACTTGAACTGAAAAATCAGCTCTTCCTGGGTCTCAGGCTCACCAGCCTTTGGACTGGAACTGTACCTTTAGCTCTCTGGGGTCTCAGGCTTTTGGACTGAAACTAAAACATCAACTCTCCTGGGTCTCCAGCAGATCTTCAGACTTGCCAGCCTCTAAAATCACATAAGCTAATTCTATACGATAAATCTTTATATATATATATATATATATATCCTCTTGATTCTGTTTTTCTGGAAAATCCTGATGAATACACCATCATAGACTAAATCCTAGATGGAGAAATGGCCTCACCCAGAATGGTATTTACTATGTCCTCATGTTGTATATTCAATCTCACTGGCCCCTCCCATGCCCAGTATTAAGGATTCTCAGGGTTCCCAATTAGTAATATTTGATGAAGGAGACCAAAACAGAGTAACTATTCTAGAAATAGCTTATGAAACAAAACAAATACTCAGCATTATACCTTTCCTCAGTGATCTTCAGTTGGGCAATTAATTATGATTCATCAAGAAGCCTATTTCTGTTTTAAAAAATAAATCATTTATCATCCAAGATTATCATCTTTTCCAAAAAAATCCATTATAAAACACTTATAATAAATATAAAGAACAAATGAAAATCCTCATAGAAAATGGGCAAAGGTTATGAATAAGACATTCACAAGAAAAAAAAGCACAGATGTGGTTAGCAAAAGAAAGATGCATAAACACACTCATAATTAAGTAAATGCAAATCAAAACACAAGGAGATACCATTTTAATCCACCCCATGGGAAAAATTTTAAAATTTCCATAATATCAGGATGTGTGGAAAGAGACGTTCTCCTTCACTATTGATGAGATATTCTTTAAGAGGAAGAGATGGCACAACCTAGTTAAATAAAAAATGCACATACCATTGACACACCTACTGTACTGCTAGGAACTGATCCTACAGATATGCTTTCAAAAGTATGTCAGGGTTAAACATTGCAGTAATATTTGTATTAGCATAAACCAAAACAACCCCTCACCACCCCCAAACTATCCACATACTTACCAGAAAGTTAACAGTTAACTAAATAACAATACACACATACCATGTAATACTGAACAGGCATTGAAAAGAATGAAGCACACTGAATTTGCTGATATGAAAATAGACCCAAGATATGATTCACTCTATGATTATGCATCAGTCAGGAATCTCCAGAGAAATAGAACCAATAGGATATATATAGACATAGATATAGATTTATTATAAACATAGATGAGAAAAGTATAGAATGGCTTATGTAAAATAATCTCGTTTATGTTTTAAAAAAGAATATATACAAATATATGAATAGGTAAATAGAGAGAGCCACGTAGAACAATAGATAGATGCATAAACATTTTTCTGGAAGCATATATTGGAAACAATGATTACTTTAGGGGAAGACAACTAGCTATTGAGTGGTGAGTAGGAGAACATTTACTTTATTTTATAACTTTCTTTATAGCATTAATATTTACTTATGTGTATAACTTTTATTTTAAAATGCTAACTTTAAAAGAAGGCAGAAAAAATTCTATTCTCACCTGATTCTTTCAAGTAATGGTTAATAATTGAAGAAACTCCATGAGGTGCCACAAAGTTACAATCTCCTTCTTTTATCACCATTCCTTCAATAGGAGAGGTCAGAGGCTTCAAAACACCAGGAGCTAACAGTTCATCATAAAAACTGAAACAAATCAATATGTATAACATAACTATAAGCTATACTTAGCTCTAAATACTATATTCTCTTCCAAGAATTCTTAGAGATTACAATCCTAAATAATAACTAGAAATCTTCTATGAACAACTCAACATATGATTTGTGTTAATAAAAACTATAATTCAGATGAAGAATGGAAATGTTTTGAGAATCCATAGTCTTTTGCTAATCTTAGTCAAAGGTCTATTTTCTCATATATTTCAAAATTAAAGTCAGTGAAAATAAAAAGAAAGGTATTCAATACACCAGTTTTAAATCTGGTTAAGATTGACTTCCATCACAGCTATCTGTCCTCTTCCTCAGCACCAACATATGAACTCTTATTTATTGAGCCCTTACTATGTTCCATGCAACATTTCATCTGATGGTCACAAAAATTGGATGAGGTATGTATTACAATTTTCCCACTTTATTCAGGTTAACCTTTTACTGCTAATACGATCAATGATGATAACATAATTTCACTATATTACAAGAGTCAAAGTTTAACCCTGCTAAAAATGGATGATTTGTATCTTTTTACATTCTACAACCAGTAAGACGGATTCCACCCCTTTCAACTGACTCACCTCTGGTGTTTTCTGGCATAATGAGGAGTGCAGGTGATGTACTGGGCACCCAAGTCCACTGTGCTCTGTGGATTATGAGGACTGCTGGCTGTGGTCATTCTTCCCCCTTGAATTAGTCCCCAGGAAAATGTCTTAGAGCATTAGAATGAACCTTTTGCAGTTGACGCTATTCACTCCAGGTTACCACAAATAGATTACTTAGAACTGTTTTAGGAAACATTTTTAATTTTTTAAAAAAAATTTTTACTTTCATAATAATTAATATATTTTTAAATATTCTGTTTTCTCCAGATTACAGACATCTAGAAAACGTTTTTTTATACTGAAGATTTTTGTCATCTAACATTGTCAGGAAGTAATTAAGAGACAATTTGGTCACTGAGTGTGAGATATTTTTTTAAAAAAACACACGAATAATGCGCCACCCTTCAGCACTGCGACTGAGGCATCTATTTACCTATCTGAGTAAAAGAAATGAACGAACGGACAAAAGAAAACAAAATAATTAATGAAACGTCAGAATAAACGAATCAACGAATCCTTTCCCTCTTGCAGTCAGATTTCAGGAGATGGACAGGATGCTGTCAACTAGATGTTCGTAAAGTCTTGGTCAATGGGCACTTGAGGATTCTCATAATCTAGAGATAAGCCTCCAAGGCACAGAGCGGCCAAGAAAACAATCCATTTCTTAGCGACAGCAGCAGGCCCAGGATTTGCAAACTCCAGTCAAGATCCTTCCCAGGCCGCTCCGGCCGCCCTCTGAAGCGCTCTGGCACTCCCGGCCCGCCCCCAAGCCCAGCCGGGGTTGCTGCTTCCACCCGCGCGCCCTCTCAGGCCTTACGGGCGCCGGAAGTCTCCGATCACGTGACCAGACGCCCGCCGAGCTGCTGGGTTTTCTTCACAGACTTTCACCGGGAGGGTCCACGCCACCTCAGAAGCCATGGTCCCCGCCGGCTTCCTTTCCCCCCGTTTCGGCCGGGAGACGACCCACCTGAGTCCCCGGCCTTGTCCCACACAGCGAGGTGCAAAGGACGGGTCGCCGCCTTCCTCAGCAGCGCTGCGCACAGGCTTCCCGTCAGCCCGGCGCCCACGATCAGCACCCGCGCCATGGCCCGCTGTCTCCGCGGCGGGGTGGCCAGCCTGCAGTAGGTGGAACAGCCAAAGCTCAGCGGGTTAGAGATGTCGGCTCCGCGCTCCGGGCCCCACCCGGTCCCTGAGCAGTTCCTCGGCTGGCCTGCAGGGGGCGGAGATGAGGCGACCGGGGCTGAGGGGATGATAAGCGCTGAAGACCAGCGAACCTTGGCCTTCCCCTTGGTTTGAGGGCCAGGAGCTGGCTTCCAAGACAGGCTGGCCCCATCCGATAAGCTGTGAATTCCAGCCTGCCCCCCGCCCCCTGTAAACCTGTAAACCATGTAGGTTAGAGTGTGAGACTCCGCCTCGCCTCAGGGCTGGTGTTGACTACTGCGGAGACCCAGCCCAAGGTAACTTACTAGGGTAACTATACCTTGCTGGAACCTTTGCTAGCTTAGTATTCTAAGTCCGAACGGAACTTACCAGCGATGCCAGAGCCAGCTTTTTTCAATAGACCTTAATGGCCACTATTCACATAATAGGAAAAGAGTTTTGGAGAGATTTTCTTAAACTAGCCCTCGGGCTTTGGGTAAGGGATATAACATTTTTGAACCTCAATTTCGCCAACTGTGAAAGGGGGCCAAAAAATTCTACATTCCAAATTGTTGAAAATGAAAGATACTTGGTTCACCAGAAAATTTTAGATCACTCATCTCTTCAGTAGATATTAAGTTTTACGTCAAAACACATTCCAAATGCTAAAAAGGGACATGAAGATGAGCAAGACAAGGATTCATGCCATTACCACTAGTCTGTTTGTTTTTTCTAACATTGCCCTGGAGGTTCTCAAGGAAACAATAAAAATCAAGGATAAGACTGAACTATTAAGAAATAAAAAATTAAGTTACCCTGAATTGCAGATAAACTATTACCTGGGAACCAGAGAAACTTGAATAGCTATCAGAATTATAAGAAAGTTGACAGTGGTAGCCAATTACAACGGAAACATTAAAAATTAGTAGTTTTACTTTATGTACACATCATGAAGCAATTACCAGGCATCAAGTTGGTGATAGATTAATATTACATATATCTAATAAAAGATAATAGAACTAGAAGATACAGATGAACATATATAACCTAACAAGACATTCCTAAGCATAAAAATAAAACAACATAAAAATGGAACTGAAGAGAAAAACATCGAATACATAATCATTTACAAATTATGTTCAAAATATACAAGACAAAATACAAATAGTAAACAAATTTTTGGAGCATATGAAAGATGAAAGTTTCACACATTATAGAAAATCATTAGATATTTTTTTATTGAAGTATAATTGATTACCAATATTAGTTTCAGATGTACAGCATAGTGATTCAATATTTTTATAGATTATATCCCATTTAAAGTTATTTCAAAATAATGGCTATATTTCCCTGTGCTGTATATTCTTGTTGCTTTTATATTTTGTACACAGTAATTTGTATCCCTTAATCCACTACCCATATCTTGCCACTCCCCCTTTCCCCTCCCCACTGGTAGCCACTAGTTTTTCCCTATATTTGTGATGCTGTTTCTGTTTTATTATACTCATTAGTTTGTTTTATTTTTTAGATTCCACATGTAACTGATAACAGAGTATTTGTCTTTCTGTGTCTGACTTATTTCACTAAGCCTAATATGCTCTAGGTTTCACGGAAGACCATTTTCCCACAGATGGGGCGGTGGGTGACGGAGGGAATGGTTCAGGTGGTAATGTGAGCAATGGGGAGCAATAGGGAGCGGCAGATGTAGCTTCACTCACTCGCCACTCACCTCCTGCTGTGTGGCCCAGTTCCCAACAGGCCCTGGACCAGTACCAGTCCACAGCCTGGGGGTTGGGGGCCCCTGCTCTAGGTTCATCCAGATTGCTTCAAATGGCTGAGTTTCATTTCTGGGGGGTTTTTTGTTGTTTTTTTTTTGCGGTACGCGGGCCTCTCACTGTTGTGGCCTATCCCGTTGCGGAGCACAGGCTCCAGACGCGCAGGCTCAGCGGCCATAGCTCACGGGCCCAGCCGCTCCGCGGCATGTGGGATCCTCCCAGACCGGGGCACAAACCCGTGTCCCCTGCTTCGGCAGGCGGACTCTCAACCACTGTGCCACCAGGGAAGCCCTACCACACTTTCTTGATTACAGTAACTTTATAGTAACTTGATTAAATCTTGAAGTCAGGGAAAAGTCCTCCAAGTTATTCTTCTTTCTTAAAATTTTTGAATAGTCTAGGTTCTTTGTCATTCATATAAATTTTAGTATTAGCTTGTCAACTTCTACCAAAAAGTCTGCTGAAATGTTTACTGTGACAATATTCAACATATGGAAAAATTTGAGGAAAATTGACTTCGTAAAATACTGAGGTAATTTCAGGATCAAGGTGGTGAAAGATATGCCTCCTTTTTGTCCTCCTTTTTAACAGGTAATAATTGGCACCCACCCACAAACAAAATACTCCTTTGGGAGTTGTGAAATCCAGCACAAGGGACCCAGGGACCCAGGAGAAATCCCACCCACTGTTCATCTGGTAATAGACAGACATACCTCCATATGGACTGCAGAACTAACAGAAGTCAGCAAACCTTCCACAGTCTCTCTAAGCCAAGGCTGGGAAAACCTGGGAATGCTGTCTTGGGCAGATACCCACAGATGAGAAAGACTTTGTAGGAGTCCAGCCATCTGGAAGGGAGAGTCCAGCACACCACTGGAGAAAAACAAAAACCAAAAAAAACCCCAGCACCTAGAGTCTGTCATACAGAGTGAAGTAAGTCAGAAAGAGAAAAACAAATACCATATGCTAACACATATATATGGAATCTAAAAAAAAAAAAAAAAAAAAAAAAAGGGTTCTGAAGAACCTAGGGGCAGGACAGGAATAAAGACACGGATGTAGAGAATGGAGTTGAGGACACAGGGAAGGGGAAGGGGAAGCTGGGACAAAGTGAGGGAGTGACATGGACTTATATACACTACAAAATGTACAACAGATAGCTAGTGGGAAGCAGCCACATAGCACAGGGAGATCAGCTCGGTGCTTTGTGACCGCCTGGAGGGGTGGGATATGGAGGGTGGGAGGGACAAGCAAGAGGGAGGAGATATGGGGATATATGTATATGCATAGCTGATTCACTTTGTTGTGAAGCAGAAACTAACACACTATTGTAAAGCAATTATACTCCAATAAAGATGTGAAAAAAAAAAAGTGCGAGCACTAATAAAATATTTTATTCATCTCATGGATGCTTTCCATGCCATGGTGATTTTGATATTTTTGACAAGAAGAGAGCTCTTTGAAACATAAACATACATCTTACTAGCAATGAAACAATCTTGAAATATTTGGGCAGGAATGAACTGAGTTGTATGATATGCTTTTTTGGTTGGGGGTAGGAGGAGTGATACGGTGTCTGGAGAAAGGATTGTAAAGATGCGTGTCATACTTTCTGGCCAAGAAGCCAAATGAGAACTTTTTCAGTTAGTCCTTTTGGCTGGACTGGACTGGACCATGACTTCTCCTGTCCCACCTTCTATGTGAACCAGGACCTGTTTTGAAGAAACTGAATATATTAGTATTCTCTCGTGTGGAAAAGAGGAAAAAATTTTAAGAATCATTTTTTATTATGGATAATGCTTGCCTTAGGACCAGTAGTTCCAGAGAGAAGTGTGCCAGTTGGTAATTAATATAAAGTGTCAAAAGCCAAAAAGATATGTTTTATTGACTGCCAGAGTTGCATTCCTTTTCAGTCATAAATTGATCTAAAAGAATCTGAGTCATTAACATATGATGCTGTAGGATTGAGTCATTCCTCATGTGTTCAAAGCCCAAGATTAATCTGACTTGCCAAAATACTTTTGTCTCTTTCATTTATCTGTCACAGAGAGCTGTCCAGTAAGGCAGACATCTAACAGCCACATGTAGCTATTTAAATTTAAATCGAAATTAATTTAATTAAATTATATTAAATGTTCAGTTTCTCAGCCTCACTAGCTGCATTTCAAGTACTCAATAGCCATATGTGGCTACTGGGTACCATATGGGAAAGCATAGACAGATAACATTTCCTTGTTGCAAAAAGTTCTATTGAAGAGCTCTGGAAAAGGAAGAGAGCAAAACATGAGAACTGTAAACAGTAGAGTTATCAAGGTTTAGAACATTCCACAAAAAAAATCCCACAAAAGAAGCAGAAAAAGAATAGATGGTTTATAATATCAGTTGGAAAGGACTGGAAAATGCTGCCAGAAAAATTCCAGTTGTTTGTCATTGCCACTGACTCAGGTGTTGAAAGCCTTTCCAAAATGATAGAGTCTTAATTTTTATAGATCCTCACAGGAAATATGCAAATACCCTCAAAGAAGCTGCATTGTGTGATGCAACCTAATACTGATTGTGAAAGTATCTATACTACATTATATATTCAATATATAGTAATTGGTAGAATTGTGAAGATATCCTGAAGGCACTAACCATAATATAGGGCTTCTGAGAATTAAGGGGACCTGTTTTTAGTGTTCTTCTCAAACTAGAATTCTGTCTAGATCTAGAAGTTCCCTTCCAATGCAGCTTCGTATAGAATTTGCCGACAACTGAAGCAAGAATGTTTGAAGTTAAAACTTGTTTGTGTAACATTTTTATTGATTTATAAAATAGAAAATAGGAATAGAGCAATATTTATTATAGATATACTACAGATGGAAACTATCTACATAAAATTTAATTGCTCTTCTTTTTCTGGCTCCTTTAAGTGTAAGGTTATGTTATTTATTTGAGATTTTTTGTTTGTTTGTTTTATGAAGAAGGGCCTGCATCACTATTAAATTCCCTCTTAGAACTTCTTGTTGCAGCCCATAAATTGTGGAGTGTTGAGTTTCCATTTTCATTTGTCTTGGGGTATTTTCTTATTCCCTCTTTGATTTCTTTATTGTCCCATTGTGGGTTTTTTTGGTTGCATATTTAGTCTCCATGTGTTTCTTCTCTTCCCATTTTTCTTTTTGTAATTGATGTCTAGTTTTATACCATTGTGGTAGGAAAAAACGCTGGATATAATT